GTACCTCTGGTGCAAATTACTGACCTCTGTCATCATTTTAAGTGGGGGAACTTGCACAATCGGTGGCTGACTAAATACTTTTTTGCCCCACTGTATGCCATACACAGCCAGATGCATGTAAAATACACACCAACATAATGCAGATGGCAGACTAAGAAAGAAATAAAAAGAACTAATATCAAACATGTTTACATTAATCTAATTTGAGCAAAGTCAGACATTTTAAAGCTTATTTGTTTAAATTTCTTCTCTAGTGCCAAAACGTTTGCATTTTCCCCTCTCTGCACATTTAAAAGGAAAACTCTCCAGTCTGCCGTTGGCAAAGGGCAGATGTTTAAAAACAAGCGGGATAAACCTGAGCCTTTGTGTGGTTTGTTTGTTCAGATCGCACTCAGGTGCAGACCAAAACAACCACACAAAGACACTTTGGTGGTGTCAGTAGTTCCAAATGAACTCCAATAGTCCATAACACAGCATCTTCTTCCTGTATTTACTTTTGTTGCTTTCGCTTCAGACACATCTGGCCAATAAGTGGAATAAACATTCTCATGTGGTTTGTAGTGATGCATTTCAGTTCCCTTTGATTTTTCTCCATGTTGCGTGAAAACAAACCAAATCACAGGGAAAAGCTACAAGCTTACAAACTCATCAGCTGATTCAGACCACTTAATGAGTTTGTAACTATAGGTGTGAAAACGCCCCTAAGTGTGATGGAGAAGGATCAAACTGTTTGTTTTACATCATAAATATTAGATACAGTATCCAAACGTTCACCCAGAGGGATGTACCTGTGTCGTGTGGCATTGCTGTTGTTCTTTGAACCAAAGGAGATGTGATACGGGACCCGGTGTGTATCAGGAGAAATTCCAATTCTCTGGCAACCTGCCCACTCTGAAAACAAGATAGTGTCATAAAAGGTCACATGACTGAGAGTAAAATGATCAGCAAGAAAAACCCGTACCTTTTCAGTAGCCTGTCGAAATATCAACAAAGATTGTTGGTAAACGCAAACTCTGAGATGCACTACTGGTTTGTTACTAACAAGCCGGACAGGTAAACAACAGCTGATGCTCACCTGTAATATCATACACCTTGCCATCCATACAGGCAAAGTATGTGATGCGTAGGCCCAGCATGCTCGATTCAGCCCACAGGTCCCCTTCCTCGGCGCTATGGCAACGATTGCATTCAGCACAGAACCGGGCCTCAGCGGGTTCACGATCCATCTCGAAGCGCCTTCATACACACACAGGAAACAAATAAAACACACCTGTGCTGAAAGCCTACAACACAAGATTAGCTACAGTTTTATAGAATTTTTTTATTTCATGTGCGGCTGTGTGATGGCGATGCTGGATGTGTAACACCATACTTGTGTTTGCCTTCACACTTGGTACACATCATAGTATTCATGGCTTCCTTCAGGTCATCCTGCAGTTTAGTGAGAAACTCGTTCATGGACTTTGAGAGCTCAGTCGCTGCCATGCGCTTCCTGCATGAGAACGAGTAAGACAAGTTGTTGATCGGAGATAATGAGTGAAATGTACAGTTATTTATCAAACTGTACTTGAGTGGGTTTTGTTGTTTTACCAATAAGAACTTACAGAAATAACTTAAGAAAAAACATTACATTAAAATAATTGACAAGATGATTTAAAATACAATAAATAATTGTGATTAAAATATTTCTTTCTTTTGTAATTTTATTGTTGATTTTTTTCCCCGTGCACTTACAACTCGTACTCTCGTCGTGTCTCCGGATTACTGACAATATCCCAGGCAGCCCTGAGCACTTTGAACGCCTCTCCAGCTCGTGGGTGTTTATTCTTGTCTGGATGGACCTGAAAGAGAACGGACAGAGGAAAAGGTTGCATGAGTAAAGAATCAAAATTAGTCACTACAGCAGCCATGTAATAGTAAAAATTGAAGTATTTCTGATTCTCACACCTGGACAGCCAGCTGTCTGTAAGCCTTCTTCAGCTCAGTGTCAGTGGCATGCACCTCAACACCGAGAACTGTAAAGGGATCGAGCTCATCCTCTGGTACCTCAACCAGTGCCAGCAGTCTCTCCAATTCCTGGCCCGGTTGAGCTCTTCCTGCTCTGCCAGGTGACCCCGGTGCGGATGGCGGTACATGACCATCCCTCCTGAATAGGCTTCGGGCTTTCTCCAGCAAGGACACTATCCTTTTCCAAATGCGTGTCTCCTGAAAAGCCGTCCAATAGTGCTTTCCCCTATCCCCACCAATACGAAGGAAAACCCCCTTGGCCCACTGCAATCCCAGAATAACCAAAGCACAGAAAAATGTGAAACAAGATAAGGCAACTGTCTTTATAAACTTTACTGACCTAACAGTTTTATCCACCACACAAGCTCCTTTGCACTTTGCCCACTTCAGAATCCGGATCGCATCTGCCTTCATTGCAGGAACATCAGTGATCTTCACAAGGAGCTGCTGCCCAAGGTTGTAAAGTTTTACAACTCCAGTCTCCACTCCAACTCCACAGTTGTGAGTTAAAGTGACAATAATCTCAATCATCATGTGGATGCAGGAGATGCACCAGAAGCTCAGACACTCTGACAGCATCTCCTTAAACGCTAAGATGAGCTGGTTTCCTGTCCTCCGCCGGCCCCGGTTCTGCTGATAGTGGTGGTGGTTACGTCTGCGGGTCTGCTTGTGCCGACCGCCACTTGACATAACATTGCCTCTCTGAATCTGCTCTAAAACTGACCCACTGCTCCTCAGTTTGCACTTCCTTCCACTTCCTATGTTCCTCCAACCAGACTCCCCATTCATGTGCTGCTCCTTTGCGGCATCATCCTCTTCTTGGTTTATAACCTGTGAGTTCTCATTTTCTGTAGTCTTGTCATGCTCAAACTCTTCTGAAACCTCCTCAATATCATCTTTGGCCTCTGCTTCACCAGCCCCAACGTCTTGTAGAGTGGCTGGGTTTGGGGTTTCCTGAGATTTGAGATAGGCTATTTTGTCCTCCTGCTCGCACTCATCCTCAACCTCACACTGACTTGAACTGGTCACTGAGGCCGAAACACCATCAGGGAACTCCTCGTCAGTGTCCACAACATCCATCTCTTTCTTAGACGCTTCTCTTTCCATGTTCCTTACAGCAATTTGACTGAAGCGCTGTAAAATCTGACTTTCATTAAAGAGTTCCTAAATCTAGAATTTGAGGCCACATTTTTCCCAGGCTCTCATAAAAAAGCGAGACTGGGGGTTCCCATGGGTCAAGTTCAGGTGCACCGCATCAGCAGCCACTTGTACGTATCAAAAGGCTTTTGCACAACTCACATGATGCACTGGAGCTCCTGAAAAGCAACAGATATGAATCAATCTCCAGGTTTTGATATCACAAGTCTGTGTCACCCTACTTAATATAGGTGAATCCTTGTTCCTGTTATTTTTGGCTTTCTGATTTAATATATAGCCATAAACCATGTCTCTCTAGCTCACACTATCCCTAGAATCCCTAACATCCACTTTCCCTCCTCTGCACATCTCCACTTTGTCTCTCTAACTTTGTTTCCAAGTGATTTTTTTTAATGTATTGGGTTAAATGCAGGAAAAAATCTTAGACGTTCCAGACAACTGAAAAGTAAGAGCATTACTTTAAGACAAATGCTTTGACACCAGAGCGCATAATAACTGCTAAACTATAAGTTTTAAAAGAAACAAAAGGGGGTAACTATAAATTAACAAGTTACGTAGTCAGTGAGCAATGTAGCTGCACGACTTCATCGGTACAACTGTATAAGTATCAAGTAGTTACAAATACCCTCTTTGAAGCTACTTTTACGCGTATTTACACAGATGTGAAAACACAGACTACATGCAGTTACCCTGCTTTGTTGTTTGCTAATCCAGTTAGCCAAACAAGAACGCAGTGTGTGTAAAACCCGACCTTTAATAAACAACCTTTTAACCTTTCACAGTAAATAAAAAAGTATAAAGAAGTCAGTCAGACCCTTAACATGTTAACTGTGTTCAAATCACCAGATGTTTTAAAAGGCGGACAATATTAGCAGGCAGCCCTGGTGTTAGCATGAGGAAGCAGCCAAGCAGGATGACAGACAGACGCTACGGGGGCTAAAATTAGCTTGCCTCTGGATAGTTAACCTGGCAACATTTCGACTAAATAAGGCCACAAACGAAGACAAAACAGGCGACTGTTAATGCTTTTAGCGAGCCAGCAGTGAACTATTAGCTACTAGCAGGACTAACTGAAATATAAACGCCTGTTTCCCCTTCCTGTGTGGTTGGTTTGGCTACTAACGCCAAGACGTGTTTAAAAACCGGGACGTCCAGTGCAACAAAGAAGGCAAATAATTCTGCGTTTTGCATTAAAACAAATGAAATGTCATATATACCTCTCGGATAACTGTATAACCTTGTTTGTTAACAGACATCCAAGTGTCGGTGTTGTTTTGTTTTTTTTAAGCCACTTCTTCTTCTTCTGCGGCTCCTTTTCCCACTTTATTTCTACTTCCTCTTCCGCCTCCAGCTCCCTCTTCGCGGTTTGCGCGCGGTTAAAACACAACGGCGGGACTCTGCTGCCATCTAATGTTTCGGGAAAAGCTGACCGTAAACGGCGAACTTTAGAAATGCGGGCTAAGAAACCCAGCAACCCCGCGCCGAGGTGTTTTTACGTGAGTTTTTAGTTCATAGTAGCCTGCTAATCAAATTCGGGGGAAAATGGATAACACATTTTCCTTAATACTAAGATTTGTTAGAAGCCCACGCTTAATGACCACGATGCTTCGGTCTGGCTTATTTTTCAAACTCCATCTTGTGCTCACAGTAAAAGGGTAATTGGGTTGTTATTTGTAACATATGAATAAATCCCTTATTTCTAAAGTGCGTGGTGTAGATGTACCTAAAGGCCACTTAAAACTGCAAATGGATAGGCACACAATACATATCTTACAGGCCATCACTGTACAATAGAACAATCACATAAAATGTGGCAAAAAAAAAAGGATTGGAGATGCTGGTGTTGGACTTTGAACTTCTTTGGAGATACTGTTAGTGAATTTAAAGCCACGGTTTGGTGACTTGGTCCTTTACTCTTTCAAACAAAACAAAACAAAATGCAATACTAGCATTTAAAAACTGCTGGAGCTTCACCCACTCTACCACCTCCTACATAAAATGGGGGGAAATAACAGAACTGGTCTTCAGTAAAAATCCACATCTGTCACGTCAGTTTATTATCTATAGAGGTTTGTATAGTGTATAGCTGGCTGCTTGTTTTGGGAGTCTCTGACATAGTAAAACGGTGGGAACCCCCTAAAGCTTCTGCATAAAGGACTAATCTTGAAGACGCAGAGGGTTAATTTCAAGCCCCCACCACCACCACCCACATCTCCAATTTGAAAGCCGCCTCTCTACCGGGAGAGGAAGGCTCTTTTTCGGTCAGATGGCGTGCTGCAGTCCGCCCCCGTCATTCTCCAGCCCACACAGACAGCAAAAAGGCAGCCAGCAACCAATACGGTGCGCCGGAGGAGGATTTCTGCCAGTGATTTCAGACGAGGTAAGATACGCAAAGGGGATTTACTACGCCAATCTGCGCCGAGGAAGCTGTCGGCAATAGGTAAGACGGTAAGAAACGAATGGGATAATAACTGCGTCGTCTTTGGGTGCTCGCCTCTTAACATCTGGATAGTAAACAATTACCTCCAGTCGATGGCTTTATTTGAAATGGAGCCAAAAAAACGAGTGTTTTCACTTTAGTGCAGTCTGAATGCGGTTCTGTCTGTGATCAGGAGATTTTAGTTTTATTTCTTTTGTCAGTATTGCTCTGGCAGATCCGACCCGTGACATCGGTGGCTGGAGCGACACCCTTGCTAAATCACGCCGGTTTCCTCTTTACACATCTGTAAACCTGACCTAAAGAAGGTAAGAAAAAAGCGATTTATGTGTATTCAAAGATTAAGTCATGAAACATATAATGAGTAGATAGGAGCTTATTCTGCCCCAAGGGATGCTTAAACTTGCTTTTAACTCTTTATCAGTTTTTATTATTTGACTATATTTGTATTTTGTATTCTGTATATACTAGGTGTGGTCCAGATGCCAAAGTCTTTATCTAAATAATTAACTTGTACAGGATTTCTCCATCTGCAGGTTCATGTCTTTCCTTTCTCCTGCCTAAACTTTCCAGTGCTGTGTGCCATGTCTCTGCCACGCACACTTGGTGAGTTGCAGCTGTATCGGGTCCTCCAGAGGGCCAACCTGCTGGCCTACTATGAAACCTTTATCCAGCAGGGTGGTGACGATGTCCAGCAGCTCTGCGAGGCAGCGGAGGAGGAGTTCCTGGAGATCATGGCACTAGTTGGCATGGCCACCAAGCCACTGCATGTGCGTAGGCTGCAAAAGGCCCTCCGAGACTGGGCGGCGAACCCTGCCCTTTTCAGCCAGCCTGTTGCTAATGTTCCTCTTGGGGGCATCCCGCTCTTTAAAGTTGATGGCACTGGCACAAGTGGATCAGCTGGCGGGCCCAGAAAGTCTGTGAGTAATGGGCAGCCAGGATCCCCCTGTGAGAGAGAGGATCGGATGTGCCTTACACCAATGCACAGCGGGAGTCCAAGAAGCCCCTGTTCCCAGGCCTCTCCACAGCCCCCAGACACACACTACAGGGAAAAACTTTCTCCTATGGATCCACACTGGCTCAGCCCAGAGCATGATGGGAACTGCACTTTGGGTTCTGCACCTGGAACAGAAGAGGAGCCATCCAGCCCACCTCTACTGTCAACATGTCCTCCCGGTCCTTCCACGTCTCCGAGCCCCTCTGCATCTTTCACCCCGGCAGCTCCGTCTGCCTGGCCCGGAGGACAGCTGGATGGAGAGACAGCGAGGGCCGTGGTGGAGACTGTGGAGAGGCTCCTCACGACCCTGCCTAGGTCAGATCCTGCAGAGGTGAAGACTTTGCTGAGGATGAATAAGAAGATGGCAAAGACTGTGGGACACATCTTCAGAATGGGGTCCCAGGACGTGAACAAGGAAGAGGAGATCCGGAAATACAGTCTTATTTATGGGCGCTTTGACTCCAAGAGGAGGGAAGGCAAGCAACTCACACATCATGAGGTAAAAGCATCAAATCGAAGAAGATTTTAATGCATCGCAACACATTTTATACCTGATTAAAGCTGCACTTCATACCAGAGTGCAGCTTTAATCAGATGTCAATCAGTGTCCATCCCTTCTTCACTCAGTGTTTTTCCTTCTCAGCTGATCATCAATGAAGCTGCAGCCCAGTTCTGCATGCGTGACAATGCCCTTTTGCTGAGACGGGTGGAGCTCTTTTCTCTGGCTCGGCAGGTGGCGAGAAAATGTGCCTACACCTCCACACTAAAGCATGCAAGGTAAGAAGATGCCTGCAGAGAAGAGCAAAACACCTCACGCCTGCTGTGTTTTAATGGAGCTTGTGTACCAAGAAAGAAAAAGAACTGTTACAGAATCAGGAGTGTAGCTTGGAAGATCCATAAAGACCAGATCATTCGCAGCAGTGAATACAATGGTTATTTCAGACAGGAGACAGGAGCATCATGTGAAAAACCTTGAATGAAATGATTTTATAGTTTGTGTTTAGCATGTTCAACAGGTGATTTATGTGAGTCATCAACCAACCAGTGGATTCATTTTCAGAGTGAACCTAGTTCACGTCTCAGTGGGAATCAAACTCCGACCTCTGTACTGTTAGTTAAATGAGCCAACTTTTGAGCTGTTGCAAGAGTACACAAATACTACTTGTGTTTGTTAACCTGCACAGAACATTTACATACGTTTCTCGTGCGGGGCAAACAGAATGAGTCAGTGTACACAAACCATAACTAAACAGGAGTAGTTTTGTAATTATATTTCAGTTTTTCAGCATCATAATTTATTATACTCGATTGTTGATGATTGAAAAATAGATACCAAGTTCACAGTCTGCTCATCTAACAATAGACACCTTTTACTTACACATAAAAATAATTTTTTTTACTTATTCACAGTGAAAAAAATCCTTTGTTGTGATTTTGCAGTGATCATTTATTAGCTTTCTCTGTGGGTAGAATCCTCACCTCTGTGAGGGGTGAAACCATGTGCTTTTCACACTCATTTGCCGCCACTGTGTCCCCCCCACTGCAGGACGAACCCGGACGAGAGCAGCCTTTTGCCCCAGAAGAGAGCGAGGCTCGAGGTGAGTGTCGGGTGCACTGGCAGTCATCTGAAGTGGTTCATCAGCACCGAACTGACAGTGTTGCTTGTGTGATGTATCTTAGGGAGTCGTGCCCGAGAGTGTGTCATCACTCCTCGGAGTGGAGGGATCCGAGAGTTTGACTCAGAGGGCAGATGACGACAGCCTATCTGCAGAAAGCCTGGACAGTGTATCACATGGTAAAAAACAGAAGAATCAGACGGATGTTAGCAAAAAAAATTGTAAAGTAATAAAACCTGTTTGTTTTGCGGGGTTTTTGCACTGATCTGTCAAAGTGTTTTTGTTTTTATAAAAACTCTTTAAAGGCAGCAATAAAACCCAGATCTGTCTGTTCTGGTAGACATGGGCTCCCAGTGCAACCAGTCTCCATCTCCCCGTCCTCACACTGACACCTCCAACCCCGCCAGCTGGAGTCGCCACCTCATACAGCAAACGCTCATGGACGAAGGGCTGAGACTGGCTCGCATGGTGTCACATGACCGGGCGGGAAAGATCAGCCTAGGTTCAGACGGAGCTCACGCCACAGGTGACAATTCAAGTAATGACCTACAAGTATTATGTATTTGAAACTGCACAGAGAATAAAGGAAATTTTGTGATATTTGCCCAGTTTTGTACCAGTTAAAGAGGAGATTGACATTTTGAGTGACACATTTATTTACTTTCTTCCTTTTTTTTTTTTAAATTAATCCACTCTCATGTGGCGAGCAGGAAGGTATGGGTGCCAGTTAGCACGTTCACCAATTAATTTGTTTTTGTCCTGTTTGCTCATTTATATTCATCACAGAGAGGTGAGAGAGGCATCTACATGTTCCTCTAAGTATAAACCAAAACATTAAATTAAAAAATAAATAAAATGCCAAACTCCTGCTTGAACTTGTGAGTACACAGACAATAAAATAAAAAACAGAAGATGATGGTGGTGGTGGGGTTGAATTGAAAATGACAGACAGAGACTCCCTAACCTCTCCTAACAATGAATATTTTAAAGCTCTACAGTTTGAACTCTAGTGAGTCACAATCTCTCCGAGGTGCCTCCCACCATGCACATCTGAACTTCAGCAGACTGTAAATTAGAGAGAATAGAAGTTAGAAGGGGAAACAGAAGGAGGTGGAGAGCGATATATAGAGAGGAAAAGAGTCGGAGGGGGGAAGCTGGTTGGGGGGGCTGCTACACTGTTATAGCACTTCTTTAATACCCTGTTAGAGAAGCGTTTTTTCTGATGCCTCACAGTTTCTCGCAGAAAAAGAAAAGAAGGAGGGAAAAAAAAGTGATCTGGGCAAGTTAGTCATTCTGGGCTGTGATAGCCAGCTGAAGAGATGAGGCGAGGAGGAGAAGGAAGCCAGTAAAGACATGAGGGGGCGGGGAGGGGGGGAGGGGAGGGGGGGATAGGAAGTACTCTGTGGGCGGTAGAATCGGACCCCCCCCCCCCCCCCGACTCTCAGCAGCTACTGACGTCAGAGTGTGTTAGGTGCGTGGGCTGAAGGGCGGGATGGATGGGGCGTGGGGGCGAAAGAGTGGGAGGTAATTGGAGGGGCGTTGCATTGACTCACCAAGCGACAGTGTACAAAAATAAAAACCTGTGGGCAGGGAAATGGCACAGTCTTTTTTATACATCTTCTCCCTCTACCAAAAGGACTGCGGAAACAAAAAAAAAAAATGACATATGTTTCATCTCTGGCACAGATCTCACTCACTTTGTCGTTTTTCTCTCTCTCTCCCTGTCGCTCGCTCGCTCGTCCAAGTTTCCTTCTTGTGTTTCGCTCATTAATCAGAACTTTCTCTCACTTCCCCTCAACGTCACTGGCTCCTTTCTGCTTTCTTATCTTCTGCTGTCGTCTTATCTAGTCAGGATATGGGTTCACATACTCCATTACATGTATATAATTTATTTTTAAATCCTCACGATGATACAATGTTTTACTGATGGTGTGATTTTTTTTCTCTGTCATATTAAAAATAATGCTGTTTATGTCTTATGCAGACATGCACACACACTCCGAGGAGCAAGTAAATGAAATAGATTTACGAGTGTGCTTACGTCGTCGGCTCGCTACAAAAACACGGTGATCATCGGCCCCTTCTGTTTTTATTTCTTCATGTCTTTTCTGTCTTGCTCACTTGATTTGCTGACTTCATCGCTGCTTTATTACCAGCCAAAAAATAATAATTCAACTCAGTCTATCTCAGTCTGTGCAACTCTGGAGACATTTTGTTATTGAGCTGCTCGGTCATACAAACCGTGATGACTTCACTCCATGTGGGAGAACTTCTTGGTGAATTCCCCAAACGGCTTTTTAAACGCCCTTAATCACTAGTTGAATCTTGATTGCTGTGCAGTCCTAACTCATACTCATCCGTGTGACGTCTGCCTGTCTTTTCTTAAAGTGATGTGCTGTTGATTCTAACCGAGCCTCAACCTTTACGTCAATCAGGAAAATTCAGGCAATCTGAATAAATCTATTCCTCCAAAAACCAACTGTTTTGGATTGGAGTTGTTTTTAACGCTCTGTGCTTTTTATGTACTTGCTGATCAGCAAGGGCATTAAAACTGGGAAAACATCCCTGATCCGTCACGGTGTGAACCTGTAGGAGTATCATGTGGAGTCAAGAGCTGTGACTTAAGCAGCAGGTTTGTTTGGATCCAGTGGGTTTCTCCCATGAATCATGTGTTTTTCCCATGAATGCTCAGTTAGATTGGAATCTGTGGAGTATGGCTATCAGACCAGCACCTCTGAGTTTTTCCTATAGTAATTCCTGATCCCTTTTTACAGCGTGTTGGGTTCGGGGTGTCACACTTGGTCTGCATCACTGTTTAGTCAGTCGGTGCTTGTCAAAGTAGCATCTACATGAATGCTTAGACACAAAAGTTTTCCAGCAGATCACCAGATTGTATTGACGTGATCACTGGTATTCACTTCACCTGTCAGAGGTTATTTAATGTTGGGGCTGACTGGTGTACTTTCCTCTCTTCAAATTTGCATCTCTCCACAGACCATGACATTAAAGTGGAGAGGCAGAGCTCGATAGCAACGTGCAGGAGCAGTAGCCCTTGTGTCACCAAAGATGACTCCAACCACCGAGGGAAATGAAACCTTCAGGAGCTTATCAGGGAACTCAAACGTTGCCCTGCCACTGAGCTCCAATCAGAGACTTGTAAACAGGCCACGTTTACTTCACTGACATCTGATGGAGAGGAAGACTCTTACTGACTTCAAGCCAGTACAGGAAATGTGAGAAATTACCAGCAACTGATATTATAAATCTGCAGTGACTTCTGAATCCTGAGGTTGTGAATGAAGTTGAAAATGTTTTTGATTTTATATTCAGTGAATACACAGGGAAGAGACTCCTTTTGTTGTTTTATTTTTTAACACATGGACAAAATGTCCCACAGATTTGAGCTGATATAAGAAAAAAAATGCTCAAAAAAAGAACTGAATTACTTTGTTGTGATCATTGCTGTGTGTTGGATGTGCCACCTGCTTGAGACAAAACGGGCTCACCACAGCAGGGGGCACTGCAACTTTGGAAACGAATCCTCCAGTTCCTCCGCACTGAGCGACTCGTTGTAGTTGTGTTTAGCAGAGGTACTTAATAACACTTGCAGCAAGTTAGAGCATAAAAGCAGTAGGATTAACCCCCCCTGAAGCTCCTCACTCTCAGGAAACAGACGGATGTTCTGGTGTTAAAGACAGAATATTTTTAAGAGAGACTTTGGGGGAACATGTTTTCATCCAGATTGCATGCAGGCAAACCCAGCTATGAGGACGAGATGCCTTTCGTCTTTTGCTGCATCAGCTTACATCCCATCAGATTTAAAAAACAAACAAAAAATAAAAACACACCTCGCTCACAACTTTCTCTTGCACACATGGTTGAAGTGATGATGGTGCAACATTTCGTCCTCTTTCGTTATGTGAAAGTGTACACAGAGCACTGTTTCTAAGCTGCGTGGCATGAAACAGGAGCAGTGTAGACTGTGAAATCAGCTTTCAGGGTTGGTTACAGCGTCTCGCTCGAGGTTCCTTCAGCGGGGGGAAGAATTCGGCTTTGAGCTCAGCTACTCCTCTCTGTCATCTGCAGTTTAATCTCGTGCACTAAAGGCACCATTGTATAGCCTTTGAAAAACCTACATTCAAAACTAAGTTGTAAGATTTATAATTTTTTTATGGATTGGATTTTTTTTGTAGGTGTACTGGAAACACACTATGGCAGTTTGTCTTTGGGATGATATTTTTTGTAGTCATAGATTAACGAGGTGAACCGTATGTCAGTTCTTCTGTGATCTGAGGCACATACCTAATCTCACATTAGGAGAATTAAAACACAGGCAAGAATTTACGGAGAGAAATCTACTGGAGCTTGAGCATCTCGTACAAGCGAAATCAACCTCTGGGCCCCACGCAGGGTGTTAAAATGTGTAACAGTCTTATGATTTTGTATTCTAATCTCAGAGTAGAGGGAGGCCGCTGTGCATCATTACACCTGCTCGTCTCTTCAGCATTAGTAACCTCCTCAGTTCATTGTTGCAAACAGATTATTTATTTTGTTAGATCTCAATAAATGTTATTTTACTGATTAAGGCTACAGTGTGTTGCATCGTTTTCCACAAAGACTCAGTTGTTTCTTGGCAGCTCTTGTTTGAGCAAGAGGCTGCGGGAGCTGCGTCACAAAGCCAGCAACACCTCTGCTGTCGTCTTGTTAGCTGCACTGACGCTCCGCATCAAGCCTCGATGCCGGCATGACTCACCTGTGCCAGTGATGTCAACACTGCTCCTCCACGCGGCTGTTTTTCACCAGAGACCACACAGACACAAGAATCAGACCACCTGGAGGGATCAGCTTCGCTATTTTCAATTATTTTGAGGTTCATTGCTGTAACAAAAATCAAAAGAATTTGCAGTTTTAGTATGTTGAACTGAGCTTTACTGTGCAGGGACTCATTCAGTTGGTTATCCAGACTGAAATATACTCACCTGTCAGTTTATTAGGTGCACCTTGCTAATAGACATGAGAGCATCGCACAGTTACTGCAAACCCCCCACCCATGAATAGAAGCTCCTGCTCCACCACATCCCAAAGGTGCTCTACCAGATTGACATCTGGTCACAGTGGAGGTCATTTGAGTACAGGGAACTCATTGCCATTCTCAAGAAACTATTTTGAGATGATCCGAGCCTTGTGACATGGCATGTTTCTCTTTATGAAGCAGAAATCAGACAATGGGTGCACTGTGGTCATAAAGGTGTGGAAATGGTTAGCAACAGTACTCAGGTAGACTTATTAAATTAATCTGAATGCTGCAGCGGAATTGGAGACCTGGCCACATTTTTCCCATCTTCTTTTGGTGACTTTGTATGAATTGTAGCTTCAGTTTCCTGTTCTTAGCTAGCAGGAAGAGCACCTGCTCCTGTGTGCTGCTGCTTTACTCTATGAAGGTTTGATGTGTTGCACATTCAGAGATGCTCTTCTGCATACTTTGGTTTGCAGTAAGTGGTTGTTTGAGTTACTGTTGTCTTCCTGACAGCTCAAAGCAGTTTTTCTATTCTTCTCTGACATCCACAAGGCATTTCAACCAGAGAAATGCTGCTCAATGGATATTTTCTCTTTTGCAAACGATTTTCTGTTGACCCTAGGTCATGGTTATGGAGGGAAATCCCAGCAGATCAGCACAAGCCAACCTATCTGGGACTAAAAACCATTCCTCATTTAAAGTTTAGACCATGTCTACATTCATAAATGCTGCTGTATGATTGGATGATTATATATTTCTATTAACCAGCTGTTTATCAGATGTACCTAATGAAGTGGCCAGTGAATCCATGTCTACACAGTAATGAAATTGACCTCAAGACATCCATGTTCCTCATAGGATGAATTGCCTCCATCTGATCAAATGATCTGTTTATCCAGCACTTATGTTCATGACATTCCCATCAGCCACAGCTGCTCTGTGGTTTACTGCTAAATAGCAAATATTATCATGGTAACACACTCAGAGGATGAACATGGCTTGGATTACACTGAGCATGCTAGAGTGCTGACATTCAAAGCACAGCTACAGTCTTGTTATTGAATTACAATCCCTCTACCATTTGGACCACTTCTAAAGTAGTAAATAGTGATTTTTTTATGTTAAAAAAATGCATTTAGCTTTTTAAAAGATAGCAATTACATCCAAGTTAGTGTGTGATTATGAGAGACAGTCAATGTGGCAACAGATGAAGGGAGCTGCATCATCAATCAGCTGTCAGCACCATTAATTAGGGAGTTAAATCTTTAGGCTATTCTTAGATCTGTCTTTTTTCCTCTGTTACTCGGCTTAGCAACAGACAGCTGATCCGATTAAAGGCATAAAATAATTGCAGATTGTCTGTTAAAAGTTAAAAGACTTCACATTATCAGCATTCACATTTTTTGCGACGTGATGATTAGTAGAATAGTTCTGATGAGCCATTTCTGCATATCATGTTTATTTGGCAACGTCACAAAGTTCCAAATAAACATGTGGTTCCAAAGAATAACCAAGAAAACTTCATATCAATCATCAGTACATTTTTTATTAATGGATATCATTTACACATCCAGGCTTAAAACGATTGTTTAAAATAGTGGCATATTTTTAGGAATAAGAATTAAGAAAAAATAATACATTTCCATCCAGAACAGATATATGTAAAATTAGCATCACATAACCAGCAGACAATAAACCATCAGCTGGTTAGTCACCCATCTAAACAGGTTTGCTTTAGATTAGAAGAGGATGACACCATGTGGAGAGTTACTTGCTTTTTTTCTAGCCGTTACTTGAGATCATGAACAGCACAGGGTTTTATTTTCCATACGTGCCTTCATCAGCAATGCAAAAATTAAATAACCAACAAAAGTAGATAAACATGAATTTGTGAACCCATGATTTTATTATTTTATATATTTATTATTTTATTTATTGGTAAAGGTTAGCTTTTAGGACTGGGAGAAACCTTAATTGAAAATGGGCTATTCTATCTTTTTTCTGGGTCCTATTCCCCTGAACACTTAGATTTATTTAGAATAAAATCCAGTGGATTCTTTTATTTGGCAAAAGTTTGTGTTTTCTAGCTGCATTAAAACATCACAGAATACAAGACGACCAGCTGCCTTAAATTGACTTTGACGCTACATAGCCTAAAGAAAAGACGCTACTGGTGTCTTGTCAGAAACACAGAGAGCTTAGGTGTAATGTACCCATGATTAATAGCGAGTGATAAAGTCTATGGACTGCACAGACTGCTTCTACTGAATGCTCTGAACAGATAAATAGAGATTATATAGAAGTTTTTGAGAAAATGTTGCCATGTTGCTTGATTTAAGACTTCGGTAAACACTTGCCTCACATTATGTTCATTTCATGATTTATGGTCTCATTTAGAGTAAAACAGACAGTGAAGCGGGGTTTGTGTAAGTCGGTATCATTGGTGTGCACTGTCCTCAGTTTTTCAGTAAGACCCACCTGGGGGATCCCAGATGGTGACAGCCAAAATGCTCAATGAGGCTTCAACAGTCCACAGACTGAATGGGTGAGTGAGTGACGTCATGGTGCTTTTATTATAGTAGGTTCCAGGAAGAGGCTGATAAAAATCAAAACGCAAACCCGATATAAATTTGACTGATCTCCCCCTCAGGGTCAGTTCTTGGGCATCTTCAGACAGCTTCCATCACAGCTGCTTTTTAAAAAAGTCACTCTAGGTGACGTGAGTGTTCAGATGTCGTAGGAACTCTCCTCTTGTAGTTGTGTGTCCAGGGAAAACTGCCTGGCAAAACTCACAAATATGAGACTGCAGAGCCACGTCCGACAACATCGCCCCACCAGATCCACCTTGGAAGTCATTAATCAGGGTGCAGCAGTCCATCACAGGCATCTAACAGAACCACAGAGAAGATGTATGTGAAGAGCGCAGTAAATCAGAGTCACAGTGTAAATATCTACAGTCGTGGCTCGTCTTTTACCCTGATTGTGCGTAGAGTTCTGTCTCCAGCAGGATGATTTTGCTTTGAATTTCTGGATTCATTGTAAGAGGCTCCATGGCATGCCAAGGAGTCCAGTGGTAACAACAATGGGAATTTGTTCTCCGCCTTAACAGTTTCCTTTCTTTGAGAGGGCACATCAACGCAGAGCTTGGTCATATCATCAGCAAGGAGATCGGGGAAGCTCTTTGTATTTCTTGAATGGTAATCAGCGCCACACTGTGCTGCAGGGATTTGTGTCACGGATGTTAATGTTTGAGGTTTCTCAAGGAGATATGTAGGGATTTCATGGGTAAACTGAACAGGAACGGACATCACATTACTTAATTCTCCATTAGGAATAGATGCACCTGCACAAAAATAGTTGTTTAAGGTTTGAAGCATTACGACTGAGAAGCTGTTTTAGAGCATTAGTGTTTTTTCATATGCAGACCTTGCTGTTTCTGCAGGGCTGTTGTGAGTTGCTGCAGCAGAGCTGCCTGTTTCAGACAAAGTGACCTCAGGCGAAGAAACTGCTGGTAGAGCTCATTGTAAGCTTCCTCCATCTCACCAGCTCCAGGAAGTGCATGTAGTGAATTGCACAGAAGGGTTAAGTCTGAGCTGTAATGGACATGTATACAAATCTTAAATAGGCTGTTGAGAAGAGATGCAAACTACAGAAATAAACATGTGAGTTTCACATCACAGTGTTTTGAGTAAAAGTACTCTAATCTAAGGCTGATGCAAAGCAGGAAAACCTGCTATGATAATAAAGTTGAGGTAGGCTGATCACCGTGATTTACAATGTTATGATAGGATGATTGCTAATTAGCACTCAAGACAAAATAAAGCTGAAGCTAATGGGAATGACATGAATCATACATATGAAGGATTGAAAACTTATGTGGGAAAAAAATGCAGCAGCTCTAATTCACTAGATAATTTTGCTCTGACCTGTCAACCTCTAAAGAAGTTATAACGTTTGATAAAAATGACACTCCAACAAAAAGAAGAAACGAGCATGCGACAGACGAGATTAGTCCGGTTACAGGTCAGGTGTCATCTGCTAACAAAAAGATGAGAGCTGAGGTCGAGGTCACTGACATTTGAACTCGTCCGAGATTTTTAGTAGACGATTTCAAAATCCTAGGTGACTTCCTTCTTGAGTTTTCACATTCACGAGATTTTCCGAAAACTTGACCTCTGACCTTGAGGTTGAGGTCACTGAGATTTGAACTCGTCCAAAAATTTTTGTAGATGCATCTACGGTATCAAGTTCAAATGTCGCCTTGTTCTCAAGTTATCATATTCAAAAACTTGGGTGTCCATGCCACCAATACCCTATCAGCCTTTTATGGCTGAGGGGTTAAAAAAAGGTCTGGGAGGAAACTCTATGCTATATATTTTTATGTTAATTTGCTGAACACTGAAGTAATGTCTTGACTTGTTTCACTTTTTTAAACCCAGCATGCAAAATACAGGAAAGAAAGAGACACAACAGTTAAGGTAACTTCTTAATTCTGATCTTTTCTGAACCTTGATATCTGGAAGTGTACAATGTGATATAATTCCTAATAGAGTTATACTGCATTTACAACTTATTATATTGGTTTGCTTACCCCTCTGCAGTCTCTCTTCTAGCAATTCAGGAGTTGTTATGTAAAGCTACATCCAGATTTTCCTCGGCAGTTTTCCATGTGATACAGGCCCCCTGTTTCATGTTCAAAGAATCAGACACTGTCTCACCATTTACATCAATCCTCAAAGCCCATTTACTAAGCACAGATGACGCAGCACCACAGGTATGATAAGAGTCTAATGAATATTATGCTCAGCAAGTCTAACAACATATAGATTGCCTGAGAACTGCTAAACATAAGGAAGTAACTGTTAAAAAAAAAGGAGGAAGTGAAACCTCCTGGGTATATAAGGAACTTCAACATTTCAGTGTTACATGAGTGGCTGTAAAGTAGTTTTAAATAAAGACTGAGGAAAGAGGAAAGAGACAAGCTGCATTTTGTGCATAAAGAAGCACGAGAACAGCTTTGCTATCAGCTGATTGTTTGGCTGGCTCTGAAAAAGAAAAACCTGTCTGATCAATTCCTTCTTGAGCACTGAGAACATAACCGGCCTGGAACAAAACTGAGAAAATAAAACAAAAGGGTTTTCTTTTTTACATTTTCCAATAGGTGCCTGAGAAGTCGGTTTTTCAGGTATGTTTATAAACAACTTCTGCACTGGATGAATTATAATTGTGTAACTTGATTATAGAAACTAAATACATGCAAGTCTAAATCTAATTCCGCTTTAACCCCCGATAATCGCAAATCACGTAACGATAGTTTATGAATTACATTTGAAATTGAACCTTACTTGCACATAAAGCGATCGGACATTCCAGACAGGAAGTTCACACACAAATGTTGATGTCAGGAGAAGTAGGCAAGATCCGCATTTCTCTCTCGCTCTCTCTCTCTCTCTCTCTCTCTCTCTCTGCGCAATGACGTCACTGCACTCACCTGCGCAAATCGCCCGTGAACCTTCCACTACAACCTGACGCGTCCAACCAGGTTGCCTTCAAAATAAAAGACATGGAAACGCTCTGAACGGCTTTTATTTTGAAATACTCCTAAATTTGTGTTATCAAAAAAAAAAAAATTACTGTACAAGTTTGCACAACATGAACCATCGGGGAAAATTTTAATTATTACTCGTCGACAGTTATGTAATAGCAAACTATCATTTTGACTTGATGTTGGTACAAGATTAAGTCCAGGGGGTCAACAAGGTCATTACACCATCTCCTCCTGGATATTGTTCATTCTTGTGCAAGCCGTTGTTGTAACTCACCTAACACAAATGTCAGTCTGAACAACAATAAAGCTACTTTCAGCTGCTTCCTTATTCACAAGAGGTCACCACAGCCGGTAGCTCTGCATATTTGATTTAGTTCATTTTTGATGCCCTTCCTGATACAACCCCAAAGGCATAGGTTTTTTTTTCAGTCTGAATCACAATAACACAAATTTTTTTTAAAAAATTGTCCAGCTGATAAGAGCTGCATCATTACTGTTCAGGACCAGCATTACGCTGAGAGCTCTGTAATAGCTTTGTCATGTCTCTGTTTCTCCAGGTCTATTCTGAACGTGTGTGTTTGGCATTTGAGATGTTCAGCCATCTGTTGAATGTGGCTGATATCAATTTAAAAATAGATCCACATTAAGACAGCAGAGTCCTGGAAGCAGACTACCTTCCTTACTGCCCATCCAGTTATGAGGAGCGGTGAGAGCTTGCCCTTAGAGTCAGCTCCTGACAGCCGACTTTACGGTCAGCAGCTTGTGATCTTAGAGAGGTGCCAACTAACTCAGACTTCAGACTTCTTATGTAACCCTGCGTGAGGGCCAAGGGACTCGCATCGCTATGAGAATCATGTCTTTGTCATGTCACTTCGGCTCCAGGAAGATTTTGTTGCCCTTTTTTAGCTTTTGTTTTGCATTTGCCCAGCTTATCTAGTGTTTGCTGTGTGTCATCTAAGGCCACTTTAGATGCCCTAACTTTCCCCACAAAAATCTTGATTCCATATTTCACTTTAAAAAGGAAATGCTTTTGGATACAGGCTGTTATTTTTCCCCATTTCCAGTCTGGGTGTAGTGTCTGAGATGGTTAAAAAGTGATGCATGGCTATCGATCACTGCACGACTAAAATGGTAAAAGAGCTCGTCGTACTCACTGGAACACTAACCAGTCATGGAAATTTGTTGTTTGCATAAAAATAAATGATCCAGGAAAGAAAATTACTCCAGCAGCAGTTTTCAGGCCAAAAGAAATAAATAAATAAAAAGATGACACACATGCTGGGCAGTGAGAAGCACACTGTGCAAATGTGAAGAATGTCCAGGCTCCATCTTTACACTGTATGAAGGGCTATATGTTATTTATGTTTGGCAGCTTTTCGCGTTTCTGAGGACACATGAGATACTTCATCACTTCTGAAGCTATTAATATGGAAGCATTCAAAACAGTCCAATAAATCAATAATTTTAAAACAGACTAACAGTTAGGCACTGCTTTTCCATCAGACAGCCAAATGTTGATTGATGCAGTTGTTAAATGCTGGTCAGGTATACCCAACTGTCTGTGCGAGTGTGTGTGTTTTCAGGTTTGCACTGTGCTTGTTCTGACCTTGACACACACACACACACACCACACCCTTTCATTTTCTACCACCTCCTCCTTCTTCACAACTACTTGATCTACACTACAAGTTGGGACTCTCTGAAGTGTGTGTGTGTGTGTGTGTGTGTGTGTGTGTGTGTGTGTGTG